TACCCTATCGAGCGAAGTGTGGTCCGAACATGGGCCGTTAAAGACTCAAGCCAGAGCTCCCTGAAGATGTCCGACTGGGCAGCGTGAGGTCCGGCGAGGGATCTCAGGTGAGCGAGATGCTGGCTGGACTTGGCATCACCCATTGGATGGCGTGCCAATAGCTTCCGCAGCCTTTCCCCCTTGGATGAAAGGAGAGCATCGAGGATGGCTGATTTCGATTTGCCAAATAGGTATTTCTGGGAGGGGATTCGAAACTAAATCCTGCAAAGAAGACAGCTAGTCACCCGGGATGGCTTCCAGTGCCAACGCGAACATTGTGCGTTGGTCCATAACATTTCTATGAGCAAACTGCAGCTCTAACCCTGCTAACCAAACCTCGGGGTCATGAGGGACGAAAGGGATCGGGTGAAACGCCACCGTATTCAGGGTTACGTCTGGGCTGGTTGAACGTGTCTTGCTGTCAGATGATATGAAGTTGCGATAATATATTCAATGTAAATATATATCGTGCATTCGAGACACAGAGTTACCAAGGAAAAAGTATTTTTCCTGTCACCAACTGAAGAGACGTCGACTACGACCGAGTGTGACGCACTTCAGAACGAGAACCACGAGCTAGAAAGACAAACAAGTTAAAGCTGGTTAAACCAGAAGGCTTGTGGTTGTAGACGTTTATTGAGGCACCGTGGCATGGAGAAAATAGTGGTACCGGCTAACGAACGTTTGCGTTGAAGCACGAAGGCAAGAGAACCGACGAGCGCGATAATGCGGAAAACGGATTATAAGCGAAAAGTGAAAGTTCCCTTCGCGGAAGGATACAGGATCGTATAAAATAACGTCTTATGGCGTTGGTACTGAAGTAAACGTGTGAACGAACATTTACATTGTAGATAAAAAGTGGTGTCCGGCAAATATCTGCTATAGTCCGGCTTTCACTGTACAATCGGCCACACTACAAGAGCTTGTTGCCGTTGTAAAAAAGATGCGGTTTCTCGCTCGGGTTAGTTGGGCAAGCACCAACTCCCTTGTTGCAGCTGAACCATTCGACCGATCGATAAAAGAACCCGATCGGTCGTGTGAATGTAAACTGCTCAAGTGATGTACCTCTACTTGAGGATAATGGCAATCTATTGTAGTATATAAGAACATGATTAAGAACAGACAGTCATTACACTGGTTGTTATCATGGCTTGCTCACGTACTCATCGTCTGTTGATCGGCGATCGTTTGGCGTTGATTGAGATGTACTACGACAACAAAGAAAAACTTTCACTGACAGTGAAGGAATTCAACAACACTCGTACAACATTCTGATTTTCATCACACTTGTTCACTTTAATGCTTCGTTTTTCCAGCCTTATTCAGGAAATTGAATATGATATTGCGCCACATCAGACGCAACATATCTGATATAATACCCACCTATGTCTTTGCACCTAGTGACCACATGCCATCACAAAGTACGAAATGATATTGGAGACTGAAATGTTTCTTCTAAAATCAGGGTGATGTTGCACGAGTTTGATCAACACCCGTACATTAGGGTATATTGTTGTCCGTTATTAAGACAAGTCGAAAGTTTTATTATGATTATCTGTTTACCGAACCCGCTTCGAAAAAATAGTGCGTGTATCTTAGACGAGTCAACCGTTGACCCTGTCATAATCGCCTGAGCATTTTACATTCGGAATTTCCCACATGGCGCACCGCCCCACAACTGAATCTCTTGTGGTGATTCTCTACCAACACTTAAGCAGCATCGGATACGGAACCTATCCTTCATCTGTGCCGGCCCGAAAATCGCACGACCGATCGGGTTCGTTTATCGAATGGTTCAGCCGCAACAAGGGACCTGGTGCTTGCCCAGCTAACCCGAGCGAGAGACCGCACCTTTTTTACAGCTGTGAGTCTCAGGCAGGCCCGGTAAACTTCGACTGTGCAGTAGAAGTGCCATCAACACACGGATGGACTGGACGTACCAACAAAAGCATTAAAAACGTACAAACCGGTAATCAGACAGTCTCGTGTTAGGGTGAGGGATTTCAATCGCCGCAGCTCGCGGAATATGATCCAATTAGATCACAGAGGGAATTTACTTGTTTAAGGTCACGGGTGAGAGGGGCGAGACGATGGTGAACGATGGGGCAATCGCATCGTACATCACAAACGATAGCAGATCTGGCGCTTATGTGTGGTGAACGTTGGACGCACTGGTCACTTGTTATCCATCAAACTATCCTGAAAGACACGAGGACACGTTTTGGGGATTCATAGACATTGTTTTGAATAATTCGCTCAACATTCTGTACAGGTTATGTTGCTGGAAGGTGAAAACGTGATAGTGCAAGAACGTGTAACCTAAGACACGCGTTTTACCTAAGGTGAATCGGGGTGTAAATATGGAAGCTTGAATTTCAGCTATAAGAAAACTTACAGACTGATCGCTGCAACGAAGTCATTGAGCAGGAGAAGCGTTGTGCAAAGACGATCTAGAGACTTTTTATTGATGAAGGAAAATGTGTACTTCACTTGTTACCCTCTCTTCGTATGTGAGTAAACGTGTATTTTAGGGTCGGGGTGAACTGCGGTAAGCGTTATTTAGAATTCAGAGTGTGTGGAGGGATGGGAAAGACAACGTCTGTCAGTTCTGCACTCGATTGTTCATAGGTACCGGGCATTGTTGATGTCGATCGTATAGTTCAGGTGTAAGGATTTTAAGTCCTGACTCGAGTATTCGCGATTGGAGTCCTGACGGAAACACAAAGTTTATGCACTGCTAACGATTCTCAAACAGGGTAAAACATCTGTCTAGTGGTCCATTTCGGTCATCAAACTCTTTTCCTCTGCGAGAATC